GTGTGTGCTTGTGTGCGTGCTTGTGTGCGTGTGTGTGTGCATGTGTGCGTGTGTGTGTGTGTGCGAGTGCGTGTGTTTCCAACTTTGAGCGAAGTAGTAGTTGTACATAGCAGCGTAGAAGTCAGTCGAGTAGCTTGAGTGTCGAAAACAGGCGTCGACTTTAGAGTAGCGTCGTCGTTGACTCTAGAGTAGCAAAAAGTAGCGCAGAGTAGCTCAGTCGAGTAGCTTGAGTGTCGAAAACAGGCGTGGACTCTAGAGTAGCACAGAGTAGCGTAGAGTAGCTCAGTCGAGTAGCTTAGAGTGTCGAACAGGCGTCGGCTCTAACTCGTCGTCCAGTACACCTGCCCTCAAGTCGGCAGTGCGCTTGCCCCAAAAAGTAGTTTCTATACATTGTAGGGGCGCTGGACTGGTAGCGCGTCACGCGCAACCCCGGTACCGTGTGCGGTAGGGCCGGTAACACGCTTTGGTACCGCCGTTGGCGCGTGGGCCAGGTACAGGCCCTGGCGCGGAGCCGCCCGCGACGGTTCAACTTCGAAGAGCAAACGATCAGCAGACGATCGGGACCGTCGCAGAGTGTAAAATCGCAGGGCCCCGATCGTCTGCTTGTCACGGGCCGAAAATTAGTGATAGTTATATATGTAGGGATGACTTGGCTCTTGCCATGCCTACTCCTGACCCCGACATCCATAAAGTCGATGCACACAGAGTCTCCAGGTCCTGATGGGATAGGCAAGGGTCTGAGAAGACCCAATGGGGCTCGCGTCGTTAGTTTTGTTGCGCTGGCATACCTTACAACTACGCACATACTCTATACAATCAGCTTTCATGCCAAGGCCACGTGTAGGCACGTGTCAGGTTGGCTAATGTCTTTTGCCAGCCAAAGTTGAAGCGCCAAGGCCAAGGCCACCGCACGTGCGCGCGCTCTTCTATGTCGTGACATTCCCCTAAGATCAAACTGCGGATCTCTTCGCTGTTGGGAACGTATAGCCGATCTACGACATTTGTCTTCTCAAACAGTAACCCATTAGTGGTACGGTAGTCAGACTAAGTGGCTGGGTCCTCCTTGACTCTCTTTAGTAGGTCACTATAGATAGGGTCCTGAGGTACGCATCTATGACTCCTTGGTGTAAGTCTGACCCTACATCCAGATAGTGAACTAAAGCTCCAAAGTAGTTGGCTCTTCTACTAAGGCCGTCTGCAACCACATTATACTTCCCTTTAACCGGCTTGAGCTCAAAGTCAAACTGATCTATCTCTGCAGCCCACCTAGAAAGCTTAGGTGTCATCGTGGCTTGCAATTTCAGCCACCACTATTTCTTGTGGTCGAAATAAACTTCGAAGTGCCTCCCAAGCAAGCAGTGTCTCCAATGGTCTAGTGCTTGCCTGAGAGCGTAGAGTTCCCTCTCATAGGTGGATGTTGTTACCTTCTTTGAAGGTAACCTAGCGGACATGAACTCTACGGGTCTATACCCATTGCCATCATCTTGCTGTAAAACAACACCAATACCGTATTGACTGGCATCGGTGGTGACAAAAAAAGGATAGGTCAGCTACCTTGAGGACTGGGTACTCTATCAACACCCTCTTTAACTTCTTCAGGGCCGATGTGCACTCTGGGTCCCACTTCCATATTGCCTCCTTCTTTAGTAGTCTGCTGAGGGGAGCGCCGATTGCAGAGAAGTTCCTCACAAACTTCCTGTAATAGTTAGCCAATCCTAAAAACGACCTCAACTCCGTGAGTGTACGAGGAGTTGGCCAATCTCTAATCGCTGCGATCTTGTCGTCCTCAGGTTTTATGCCATCACCATCTTAAAGGTGGCCCAAGTACAAAATCTTTGCCTTGGCCCACTCACACTTCTTTGCATTGATTTTGAAGTTTGCTTCGCGCAACTTTTTCAAGATCTGCCTCAGATGAGCCTCGTGCTCCCAGAGGGTTTTGCTAAAAATCAAGATGTCATCTAAATAAACAACTATGAATCTGTGAGTGGCGGATGGCCTAGTGGTTAGGGCACCGGTTGGAAATGCACATTGTGGTCTGAGGTTGCGGGTTCAAATCCGCAACCTCGTGCATATGTTGCCGACGAGGCATTAGGTTGATGCACTACCACTCACACACTGAGTGTGCATGCTCCCAGGAGTACGATGTATGCATGGTGCGGCAGTTTGAACTGGAGATCCACCCGCCAGGGTGCCCATCATTCGCTGACCCCCAATGGCGCATTCTGATCCCCGTAACGGTTGAACGTGTGCCTCCCCTTGGGGTTGTTGCAGGCCATGGGGGGAGACGGCTCCGGGAAGGGGCAGACCCAGTGGTGAGTATCCGTGAGGGGTAAAGGGTTCGCTCCCTTCCTAGTAGAGGATCCCTAACCTCTCGCTGCGCCTGGTGTCTGGGTGCTAACGCCTCTCGGCTGGGCGCTTCGAGGGGGATACAAGACCCCTGTATTCGGGGTGGGTGCACCCTGACGCTTGCGGCCCGATAGTGCCGGTTTGGGCCGATACTCCCGGGGGTGCGTGTGAGGTTGAGCGCTCCTATTTTGAGAGAGTGGGTGTGTCCCACTGCGCCGACCAATGGGTTGAACCCGGTCCGCGAAGCCCGCTGTCGGACATCCTTCCCTGGGTAATCTCCCCGACACCACACAACCCTTAAAAAAAAAAAAAAAAAAAACACTATGAATCTGTCTAACCACGGCCTAAACAAATCATTCATACAACGCTGGAATGTGGTCGGTGCGTTGGTTTGTCCAAAGGGCATTACTACAAACTCATAGTACCCATATCTAGTCATGAAAGTCATTTTGTACTGATCATCAGGGTGAACATCTATCTGATGGTATGCTGACTTCAAATCCATCTTTGACAAGTACTTGCATCCCCGCACCCGATCCAATAAATCATTTATATGGCGCAATGGTTTTGCATTATTTATTGTGACGACGTTGAGACCCCTATAGTCAATGCACATTCTAAGCTCTCCCTCTTTCTTGGGAACGAAGAGAACAGGTGCTCTAAATGGAGACGAATTGGGTGTAATCCACCCCTTCTCAAGGAGCTCATCTAATTGCTTGCGCAACTCCTCCAACTGTTTGGGAGACATTCTATACACTGCTCCTTTCAAAGTCTTACTGCTAGGCTCTATCTCAATACGGTGTTGGATAGGACGCGAGACTACTCCTGATGGAGCCTCTGATAGATTTGCGTACTCTTCTGACAACTTGGCAATAAGTGGGCTGGTTGGTTCCTCTTTCTTAGGCTCAGTGACCGGCCTAACATAGGCCACAAAGAGTTGTTCTTCTAACTGCTCCTTCCTCACTAGTCGCTGGAACACGGGAGCACTGAGACAACAATGTGCCAGCGGGTTATCTACTCCTGACACGTGGAACAGGCGGCTTGTCTTAACACCACCTGAAGGACTAGGAAGTCTACACTCATGCTCTATTAGGTGTAGTATGGCTCTTGCTGCCTCTCCCCAGTCCATTCCTATGACCATTTCAAACGGGAGATTGTCCTCAACGAAGAGATTCAGGGAATGGAAAACTCTTTCAACTTTCCCATCTTCCTCTAGGCGAAAGTACGCTTGGACTCCCTCAACGTAATCCTCGATTCGCATCGTGCGATTGTCTGCGAGGATACTGACTATGGGCTTATCTAGCTTTTGGACTTCAAGTTGAGCTTAAACTTCTTCAACGCTTTACAACTAATATAGCTACGGGTGGCCCCACTATCTATAAGGGCCCCTACCTTGCCTCAGAAAATTTCTACATCTACCAATACTAGTTGCCCTTTCCCATCTTTCTTCATCTTGGCCCAAGCTGGCATCCTTTCCTTCAACTCTTATGCCAGTCCTGTGAGGGAAGCGCCTAGAGAGACTCTAACAAAAGCAATCTTTGAACAACTAACTAGGCGCTGGCCAGCAACCTCTGTCATAGACACATGTGGGTTGGGAGTTTCTATCTGGCATGCGCACTCATCTCCACATGGTCTAGAGGTAACGGCAGTTGCTACCCCTACCGACGGTTGCCTTCTGCTGCCTCTGCAGCAGCTCGCCGGACATCCCTGTATTTTGGGCAAAATTTTATGATGTGCCCAGGATCACCGCAATAAATGCACTGATCCGCATCATCCTCTTCTATCAAACAGTCTGCTATAAGCCAAACGATTCCTAGGGTTTGCCCTGAGGTAGACCAGGGTGCCATTCACCCCTCCTGGGAGGTGACCGATTAGAACGTGGACGGTTTCATGGGGGACCTTGACCCCTTCCTCCCTCTTGGCGGTTTCCCCTGCTGCCAAACCCCTGGTCGCCCTGTCCTCCACCACCAGAGGCCTGGCCCCCTTGGCCCCGGCCTCTCCCTCTTCCTTGCGGCCTCCCTCCAGCCGCGACAACAACATAGGTCCTCCCCTGACCCTCACCGCTGTCCTCTTCGTCGAGGCCCCACTCAATCTTATTGTATGGGACCTCTTTTAGACCACCCTCATCTAAAGTAAGGATCAGATGATCCTTGGCCTTGACTTGGCCCGAGATGATCAGACCTTTACACTTTTTCCTTTTAACGAGGCCCTTGTGCCAGAAAGTGGTCACTGGCATAGACTGGGCCGCATAAGCAACGTCCCTACTAAGCATATCGTAAGTCATATTGGGCTGTTGCTTTTTATCGAATAAATGCCCGTGCAAAGCTCCGGGCATGGCGCGATACAACAGTTGGACGAGTTGGGGCTCAGTAACCCCATGTCCAGGGACAACGACTAACTCATCCATGGCGGCCTTGAGTGCTCTTGCACTTTTCCACTGTCACGAGTGGATTGTTTGCAGTTTGTCTGAGGCCCTAAGGCCCCTAGTGACATCTGCAAATCGTTCCCGGAGGGCGGTATGAAATTCTCTCAAGTGAGTATGGAGGAGTATGTGACCATATCATTGTTACAGTTGGCGGCACGAGCAAACGACCTAGCAAAGCTGGCCGCTTCATCCGTCAACGCCTGGAATGCCACGAGAACATGGTTCTCAGGCTTGATAAGCTGGAGGTGTATATAGGATTTGATATTGGCTTCTCAATTATCAAAATCCTCTCCCTTCTTCCTCTATAGGGCTCAGGGAATTTGGCTTTGATGCGTTCACAATTGGGTCGTGGCTCTTCCTCTTTTGGGGCCGCTAACCTGGATGGCGCCTGCGCAAAACCTCTATGTGGCAGCATGCAATTCAATGCCCGCACGCATCATCGTATCCCTTGCAAACTCTTTAAAACCTAGGCGCATGGATTGTAACGCAATATCATGGTCTCTCAAGTAGCGCAGCTGCTCTCGTTGGGCCCTCAAAACCACCTCCATATTCTGCGAGAGAATGTCTACTTTCCTCTGGAGGTCTACTTGCGTTGCCAATTGCCCCCGTTGTTCTTCAGCGGCCTGTGACTCTTTTTCCATTGTCTCTGCCGCCTCTAATCGCCTCCTCCTTTCCCTTGTAAGGCGCAACTTCCACTCTAACTTCTCCTCCTCCAAAGTCTATAGGCGCAAGGGATTTCCTTATGCTTCCAACTCCTTTGCGAACTCCTCCCTCTCTGCCTGAGGGACAAGCAATAGTGCTTCTTCTTCCTCTCCCAAGGCCAGATTGGCCACCCACTCATTCACCATCTTCTCTATCTTTGCCTTTGTTTCTCTTGTGCCACTGGACTCCCCCCTCTCCTCTCTTCTTACATTTCTCTGCAAGGGTTCCTCCACTTCTTCTTCTTCTTCTTCTTCTTCTTCTTCTTCTCCTTCTTTTGCTTCTGCTTCTGCTTCCACCGCCTTCAATTTCTCCTCCTGCTCTTTCTTCCATTTCTTCATCTCCTCTTCCATCTGTTTTTGCTTGGCCTTCTGCTCCTCCATCAAGGCCAGCATCTTTGCCTACTTTATGAGCTCTTTCTTCTCCATCTTTTCTTCTCTCTTTTAGCACGGTTGCGGCTTGCTCTTCCTGAGCCTTGCTATATGGGGTGGTATTTGTTCCTGTACGCGTGGTCACCATGGTGAAAGATGCACAACCAGGGAAAGTTCCACTCCTCACCACTTAAGACTTCCACCCACCAACTGATTGACTAACTGACCGACTCTCTAAAGGACTACAAAATCCTCTCCTTCGATCCAGCTAGGTTACCACAACCGACAGAAGCTTTCGCCACCACTATCACCGAAACTTTCCAGATCCCAGTGCACCATGCACCAGCGATCAATCCCACCTGGCTTTCTCTCTAGATCACACCCTGTCAACTAGGGTCTCTAGCCTGACCTACTTCTAAGGCTGTCACTGTAGGACTCTATTGCTGATTAGGAGGCATTTAACTCCTCAGGAATTCTTTAACGTCACAGTCAGGTTGATGTGATCAGCGAGTCCTCTCGACACTTAAACAGGTGGTTGTACAGCCTGCAGCTCGGATTTTGGGCCTACCATGCCACGCTAAGCACCCCACCGGTCTGTACCGGTCCTTGGGAGAGTTAGGCCTCCGGGACGTGTCAGTTGTCAGAC